CTAGAGGTTGAAGGGATCCTAACATTTATAGCCTTTGCCGCATTGCCCTCTCCTCTATTAACAACGAGGGCTTCCTTGCAGCCTCCTGGTGTTGCCGTCGCCATCGCTGCCATTAGCGCCATTCCCCTCGCCATTGTGGTAACCCCCCTTGCCATCGCTGCCGTGTTGCTACATGCAGCGCCTATTAGCCCAGGCATCATTATCAACACCCTATCCGGAGTCACTGTTGCCACCGTCTCGCCAACCATTTCATCAGCTGTATTAGACTCAGTGGTTGACCCGGTCATGACAGCCAGGCTTTGATGTTGACATTCTCCCCACCGCCCTCAGTCTTTTTACTGACAAACAGCTGATCTTCGGGCTCGGCTCGGGTTTTATCCTTGGGCTCCATCCACAGCTCTATTGAGCCGAAAATACCTCAGCATGCTGGGAGGGGGGTCTGTGGATGGTTAATTGACCCCCACACTCTTGAAAATGTCGAAACATCTCCCTCCTAGCCTCGGAGTTTCAGCTCTGAGCTGCCATTTTGTTTTGCAACTGTCAACGGTATATATAATATATATATATTATATTAGCTTATATTATACTATACACAGACACAGACACATACACACACACACACATATATATATTTGTTTTCTTTTCTTTTTGTAGGCCTTTATGTGTATTTCTCTTTAGCCAGGTTCTTCCTACGTAAACCAAGATTTTTATGCAGCCTTAGTTCAGTGAAATCACAATCCACTAGTTTTTAGGCTTTTTTTTTTTTTTTTTTTGGCAGCCAGCAAACACTCTGCTGCCCATTGGGAGACTAAGGAGACTAAGATAGATCTATTTCGGACGTATAAGTCCTCATTAGTTAGCCACACCCTCATACCATGTATCCTTATAAGTCTGAAATAGATCTATCTTAGTCTCCTTAGTCAGGCAGCAGAATGTTTGCAGCTGCCAGAAAAAAAACCTAGAAACTAGTGGATTGTGATTTCACTGAACTAAGGTTGCATAAAAATCTTGGTTTACCTAGGAAGAACCTGGCTAAAGAGAAATACACACACACACACACACACACACACACACACACACACACAAACACACACACTTATATTAGCTACCCATCACTGAACAGCACAGTGGCTCAGCAGTTAAGATGCTGGCTTGTTGGCTGGAAAACTGACAGCCTGGGTTCAAGACCTGAGAGAGCGCATGATGGGGTGAGCTCCCACTTTCATCCTAGTTCCTGATAACCTAGCAGTTCAAAAGAATGCAAATGCGAGTTAATAAATAGGTATCACTTCAAGTGGTTAGGTAATAACAGTCCGTGATGTCATGCTAGCCACATGATTGCAGAAACATCTTCAGACAGGTTGGCTCACCAGCCTCGAAATGGAGATAGTATAGCCCAGGGGTCTGCAACCTTAAACACTCAAAGAGCCGTTTGGACCCGTTTCCCACAGAAAAGAAAACACCAGGAGCCACAAAACCCTTCCCGTGTCTGACTATTTCTTGAGCAGCCACAAAACTAGCATATGTAGTTGAATTAAATGTTCTGTTTTCTTCTGAAACTTTTCTTTTCTTGGATTTATCCATGGTTGGCCTACCGGGGGTTGAAAAGCTCGATAAATCGTGTGCCGGCAGGTGTCGTAAATTGATGGTTGTGACGCATATTTTGAGTGATAGGGAGCTGCAGCAAAGGGGTGAAAGAGCCACCTGTGGCTCCAGAGCCACAGGTTGCTGACCCCTGGTATTGCCCCTTATACTTAGTAATGGCTAGCAAAGAAAAATCTGCAGGGACTCTTTTACCTTACTTACCTTTACCCATCTTATATCGAATTTTGGGCAGTTCCCAATCAACAGTTAAACAACATCATTGTATCATTAATACGTACATATATCTATTAAAAGCACAAACATTTAAAGCAGGCACCAGTGTTAAACTTTTACTAACAAGTCCACTAACAAGTCTTCTTGTCAATCTCATCCAATCCCAATGTCTGGGGGAAAGGTCTTAAATGCTTTTCAGAAGGCTAGGAGGATGGGGGCCTGCCAAACCTCAGAGAGAGGGGTGTTCCATAGGGTACAGCTGCCGTGGAAAAGGTACTCTTCTAGATTCCATAAGATGGCAATGTTTAAGGGAAGGGACTAGTAATATACACATCCTATTTGATCTGGCAGGATGGCTATAAATCCTTGGGGAGATACAAATAACCTGGTCCTGTGTCATATAGGCTTTAAAGGTAATAATTAGTACCTTCAATTGCATCTGGAAAGGAACCAGGAGCCAGTGAAACTCACACAACAGAGGTTAAATGGATAAATCTAAGGACATCCATCACTGAGTGCATGCCACTGCATTTGGATAAATTGTAAATTTCAGGTAATCTTCAAGGGCAGCCCCAGATAGAGTGTGTTGCAATAATTCAAAAGAGAAGTGACAAGGCATGAGTCACTGTAAGCAAGGTCTTCCAATTTAGGAATAGATGGCAACTGGCAGATAAATCTGTGCAAAGGCCCCTTTACTCATGGTTGCCACCTACTTCTTGAGCAGAAGCCATGAGTCTAGGAGGATCTGCAAATTGTAGATCCTCCAGCCTGGAGGAGTGCTACAAATCCTTTATCCAGCTTCAAAAATAAAATATCATCTGGAGCCGGAGATATAGCCACAAACCCAAAGCCACTCTGTCTTGCTGGGTTGAATCAAAGCCATCACCTCCCCATCTGAACCCTTACAACTTCCATACGACCAGTACCATCACAAGATCACCTGTCTGGCTAGGAATAGAAATATATAACTGAATATCAACAGCATACTGATCATACCACATTGTATACTGATAGTAAATGTTAAAAGGAGAGGCAAAAAGCTTGAGCCCTGAGGCATCCCATATTGCAGGCACTAGGTTTGACCCTCCTCTTCCATCAACACCGACTGAAATCAGCTACAGAGCCTGAAGGAGAACCTTTATAACACAGTGCCTCCCACTTCCAACCCTCAAAGCCAGTCCAGAAGAATATCATGGTTCATGGTATTGAAAGCCATTAACAGGTCCAGGAAGGCCAGAATGGTTGCACCATCCCCTTCCTGAGCCTTCCAAAGGTCATAGACAAGTATGACTGAAGAGAGATTAGTCATTGCTTGGACCTAACAACAAACTACCTCCTGGGATGCCTTGACCAACCAGCAGGGGCATGGATCCAGAATTCAGGTAGCTGAGCCCACAACTAAAGGACTCTATCCACTTCCTTAAGAGTAACTATCTTGAACTCCAGATAACAAGGCTCAAATGCCAGATAACAAGGTTCAAGTCCATCTCTCTCCCCCAAAGAATGTACGAAGTAGATTGAGTAGATGGATCTACTCAATCTTCAAGCAACATTTTCTGACAGATGCCAAGAATATTCCTCACAGTGATCCTGCAAGGGCTCCCCAGCTTCTCCTTAACCAGGAAGGATCTGGTCATCCAAACAGGGCCACTGATCAGCTATTCCCAGATACAATGAGGGCAGAGAAGTAATTATGCTTTGCTACCCTTATTGCTGCAAGATAAATTCTAATATGGGCATTTATATGTTCTTAGTCAGCCTCACTTTTCATTTTTGTCCAGTGGCACTCTAGGTGTCTCTTATGAATGTTACATTAATCAGACATATTATGAACCTTGTTTCATTTTCTGTGTACAGTGAAATCATTTTCTCCATAACTAGATTTTTTATGCATGTGGTTACCATTGAGGGGTAATGCAACATGGTAATATGAATTTTACCAGCATTGTCCATTAGATTCCGCTCAGTAAATTAATCCAACTTAAAATCTCGTCCTAGAATGGAGGATCCTTTGCAAGCTTTAATGCAATGAAGTACATCCAACTTTGGTTGTTGTGTTAGATTTTTGTTGGTTCCTTTTTTAATAAGGGTACTAGAGAAGATGGCCAGTTTTCCCAATAGTAGTAACACCAGCTATTCTAGAACAGAAGTAAGTAGAAGAAAAGGATGCAACAACTAGAATAACTGTAGAATATGATGGTAAATGTGTAAATAGGATAGAAAGGAAATGGGTTTTGACAGGAAAATGTTCAAGCAATTTTGGTTGCAAGAAATTTTGACATATTTCCAGATTTTTGATGCAAGTTGGTTATGATGGTACACACTGAATAATAAATAAACCAAATTCTTAAATAAAAAAATTCAAAAAAATCCCTGTGTGTGATTGCACACACAAGGAATTTGCCTTGGTGCGTACTCTCTCGGTGTACATAAAAGAAAAGATACATTGGTCAAGAATCATAAGGTACAACACTTAATGATAGTCATAGGGAAACAGTCAATATAAATCTTAAGGATACCAGCAACAAGTTTACAGTCGTACAGTCATAAGTGGGAGGAGATGGGTGATAGGCCTTGGAAGCCATATTAGGCCGGAAGCTTCAATGCTGCCAAATATCATATCATATCATATCATATCATATCATATCATATCATATCATATCATATCATA